CAAAAGGAAAACGACGTGTTATTGTGTACGGTTATGATTTGCAGTCAGTGGCCAGCGCAAGTGGTTAACCTCTTACGTCGAGAATTTTTCATCCCAAAATTGCAATATTTTCTCAGTTTTAAGTATATTTAAGTATAACTCGGGCAAAACAAGTAATAAATTTATCACTTCTCAATAATTTCTCTCTATCTACAGTGATATCATACCGACGAGTTCAAAAAGAAAGCGACGATTTATTGTATATGGTTTGGTCTCTCGTTACGGTCCGCAGTTCAGTTGCCAGCGCAAGTGGTCAAGCAAACACCAGTGCACGCTCTCAATAAAACAAAACGGTTAAGGGATTAATTTATATAAATATATTTTTCTAATCGATGTATCGTTTCACTGTAAAAGTACAAACAATATAGGATATTCATTGAACTGATTAAAAAAAAGAAAAACCAAGCTTTTGTTGGCCAATGAAGATTTAAAGTTCTTCTCGCTTGTACGTACGTTACGTATGTACAGACAGAGAGAACGGAAAGTAGAAGAGATGGAATTTTGGTAGAGATAATTGGCGATACGATTCGGCCCGGTTGGTGCGATTGATCGCGCATCTCGGCCGATGAACGGACAACCGGGACAGCGCGCAACTGTGAAAGGGGTTACAGGGGGAGTGTATCAAATGACAAGCAGGTCAGATGGAAAAGACAGTGTCGATGGCGGTAGGAAATACCGATCGACTGGAATTCCTTTCCATTTTTTGCTTTCGTCGTACAAAAAATGGCCATCCATCGCGTTCTAACGTTCAACGAATCAACGTTCTACGTTGTACGTATGTATATTTACATATTTGAAGTTCAAAACATTCGCCGAAGCGAGTGCGAGCAGTTGTCCTATCAAATGTGTTGTATCAAATGTTTTCAGTGTTTTTGCTAATGTTAGTATCTCTCGTGATATATCAGATAACCAGATATCTTGCGAGATAATCGAGGTTAGAATTTAGAATGTTTTTGTGACAAACGATGAAATAATATATAATTTATATAATTATGTAATATATATAATTTAATAAAATATAATATATAAATGTGAATTTAATAATATATAATATTAATATATATATATATATATATATATATATATATATTATAATATATAAATATAAATTTAATAAACTATAATATAAAAAAATCAAAATAAAAATATAATTTATGTTCTTTATGTTCAAATGTAATTTATGTTCACCAGAATTGATCAGAATGTCCAAAATTGGTAGAACTAAGTTAAAAGATATTTATGCGAACCAGCAACGTCTGCTGGCTCTGATTGGAAAATCGAAACTTACCTTTGTAAAAATTACTGGCACAGCAAGATCTTTTTGATACCTGATCGTTTCACTAGTCATCGCTAAAATGAAAATTACATTGTAGACGTCCGAGTGAAAATCGTACGTGTGGATATCTCGTAAGTAACAGCTGCAAAGTATGGGAATTTCGAGACGTCGGGACGACGCGTGGATCAATTTGTCAATCGTTCGTTACTTAACAGAAACGTGTTGGTTGTCTCGTTGCAGAGGTTAAAATGGAATTGGAAGACCTGATGTCCGACATCAAAAAAACGGCGAATAAAGTCAGAGCTAAACTGAAGGGTAAGTAAACGGGTATCGTTGATAGATAGATAGAAGTACTGGAATTAGGCGTGGAAGATACGTTACTGTGGAGTTACTCTGGTATCACCGATTTCTCCGATGTTGTTCAGTGATAGAACAAAATATCGAGCAAGAGGAACACACGAACAAATCCTCGGCGGACTTGAGGATACGCAAGACACAGCACTCCACGCTTTCGAGGAAGTTTGTCGAGGTGATGACGGAGTACAATCGGACGCAAACCGATTACAGAGAACGGTGTAAGGGAAGGATACAACGACAGCTGGAAATCAGTAAGCTAAAATTCACCTCTGTATATTGTTGTCGTCCTAGCAGAGTAAATTAGCAGCGTAAATGTTGGCCGACACCGCCATGGCCGGGTTTAGTTTAAATGTTTAAAAAACGGCGGCCGGGATTGTTCATTTCAGCCGGTAGGACGACCACCAACGAGGAACTGGAAGAAATGCTGGAACAGGGGAATCCGGCGGTGTTCACGCAGGGGGTAAGCGTTTCGTTTCTTCGTTTCTACATGGATCGAAAACATGGTGCTGTATCGAGACGCGTTTCTCGCAGATTATCATGGAAACGCAACAAGCGAAACAGACGCTCGCCGATATCGAGGCGCGTCACGCCGACATCATCAAACTAGAAAATTCCATCAGGGAACTCCACGACATGTTCATGGACATGGCGATGCTGGTGGAAAGTCAGGTAAGATCGGCGACGATGCGTCGCGTCCGTTCATTCATTCTCCTTCGACCCTCTGCTTCTCACAATTTCAATCTTTTCGTTCGTTCGTCCATTATTTTCAAGTTTTTCCTCTCGCCATTATACGCGCGCGAGACAGTCTGTGGACCTGGAAACAACAAGTTTTAATATTCTCGCGTTTTAACCCTTTTGCTACAGAGTTCATAATCGCAATGGTAGCACACAGTAAGAGTTGAATCGCGACTTACACTGAGAACAACGAAATTTTGTCAGAAAGTATATTGAAGTAACCAAAAATGTTGAATTGCACTATGTAAAACCAATATTATTTATTTAATCGTGTTTGTATTGAATTGGCGCAGTATCTATGAGCTTTACTTTAAAACATGCTTGGTAATCTAGTAAAGTGTGGTAGAATTCTAAACAATTGGGTCAATACACAATCCTACGTCATATTTCTTGAATTAGAGTTAGAAACTTGCATCTGATACAAGGGAATTTTGCCACAGTCGTCAGAAAGTATATTGAAGAGACCAAAACGTTGAGTTGCACTACTTGAAACCAGTATTATTTAGT